CCCTCTGCCCCCCCCCCCATGACATCCGGGGGGGGGCACGTGACACTTCATGCCCCCCCACCCCGCATTGCTCTTGGTGTCCGTAATGCCCCTAGTGCCAGAAACCAGGACCGGGCAGACGGAGCGCTCGGCGGGAAGGGTTACGTGACTAGGAATTGCCCTGTTCGGTTCATGCCTTCCGGGGCACCTGGCCCTGGCACTGTCAGACACGCTACTGGGCTCGATGGACTGGCAAATCGGACACCCGCAAAACTAGAGCCTGGGAAGGGCTCGCTCACTACAACACGGACATTTCCCCTTAGGCGCTCTCAGCCTCAGTCACAGGGTGTCACGCCCCTCTGAGGGACTTGGGTTATCCCTGCCCGCTCATTCTCTCACTGCATGCATCTGACCAAGTGAGCTGCAGCTCGTGCCCTAATGCATGCGCTAGTCTTTCAGGCAGGGGTGCGGAACCTAAGGCCCGGGGACCGGCTGCCGCCCCCCGCTTGCTTGGATCTGGCCCCGAGGCGGGCGGCTGTCTCCCAGCATTGAGGAGCCGGTGCTGGCATTCAGCTCCCCCCGCGAGGCTGGAGCACACAAAATCTACTGGCTTAGGCCCCCCAAGACTCTGGCATGCGAAAGGAACGTGGGGAGGGGCCTTCTCTGTCTCAGCTGGAGGCTGTGTCTCTGAGGGGCTGGTTTTTCTTTTTTGCTTCTCACGAGTGTGGGTCAGTGGTCCCCACCCTGCTTTAAAGGGCCAGGGGACTCCTTGTTTCTCTTTGCTGTAACAGACTGAAAGGGCTGCCTCTCAACGTGCAGAACTGCTCCCCATGCCCTTGCCTTGGCAAGCACCAGTGCACACAGTGCAGGACTGCTCCCCATCCCCTTGCCTTGGCAAGCACCAGTGCACACAGTGCAGGACTGCTCCCCATCCCCTTGCCTTGGCAAGCACCAGTGCACACAGTGCAGGACTGCTCCCCATCCCCTTGCCTTGGCAAGCACCAGTGCACACAGTGCAGGACTGCTCCCCATCCCCTTGCCTTGGCAAGCACCAGTGCACACAGTGCAGGACTGCTCCCCATCCCCTTGCCTTGGCAAGCACCAGTGCACACAGTGCAGGACTGCTCCCCATCCCCTTGCCTTGGCAAGCACCAGTGCACACAGTGCAGGACTGCTCCCCATCCCCTTGCCTTGGCAAGCACCAGTGCACACAGTGCAGGACTGCTCTCCTGCAGACAAGCAAGCACCGCTCAGAGGGGTGGACGGTTTTTGTTGGCAAAAGTCTGACTGTTTATGCTGCCTGCTGTGTAGTGTAGACAGACCCTGAAAGATGCCCTGATGTCAGAAAGAAAAATCTCTGTTGGCACAGCAGCCATCAAGCCTCTGGGCAGATTCGGGGTAACGGTACCTCCAGCACTAGACTAAAATGTCATGTGGTACCAAGGGTAATATGTCAGCACCGCTACCTTGACCAGCCACACTTGCAATGTCATTAAAAAAGAGGTCAGGTTACTTTGAGAAGATCTATTTTTCATAAGCTCACATTGATTAGCATTAACTGCATTACCCTCCTTTCATTCTTTCTTAATCAAGTCCTACACTAGCTGCTCCATTGTCTTGGCTGGGGATGAGGTCTATAATGATACAAACAAACCTTAAAAAACAACACGCCAGTCATCTGAAGAAGTGGGCTGTGCCCACGAAAGCTCAGGAGACCAGCTACATTTTTGTTAGTCTTTAAGGTGCTACTAAACTATTTGTTGTTTTTTAAGTTTTTCCTGTTACAGATGAACTCGGCTCCTCCTCCGAAGCATATAATGATCCAGGTCATCCCATTAGCCCCTTTTAAAACTGGAACGGTATTCACTTTGCTCCAGGCTTCTGGGAATTCCCCACTGCTCCAACATTAATCGCCATCAATGGGCCTGCGAGCTCCTCAGCGTGCTTTCGTGGGCAAACCCCACTCTCTCAGATGAGCAGAGTGGAGAGAAGGGGGGGGGCCACAACTGATAACAGAAAAAGAAAGGAGAGGGGGAAATCCCTGTCAATTGTAGTTCCAGTGCTAATGAGGCTAATTGAGTGGGCTGCAAATGCCCCATACTTACCTTTTGGTGTCAATTGGGTGTTGAATGTAAGGAAAGCAGGTTTTAGAATGGCCCATCTGTCATGTTATTGGATTTTAATATTAGCAGACCAATGGTTGTTGCACCCACGGGTGGGGTTTGCTCCAAATTCTGTACAAAACAGGCCAGGGGAGGTGTCAAATGGAAGCTGATGTTATGCAGAGTCTATGTCTGCTACTCCCAGACTTCTATGATTTGTGTATGTAAAGTTATGACGAGGGGCTCTGGACTTGCATTTGAAATGTCTGGGAGAGAGCAAGGGGCCTCGACCACCTCTTGGCTGTGAATACACTGGCCGCCTATTACGAAATAGGCATGCTAATGTAGAACTTTGGAAGAGGCAAATGCACGGGGGATTTAAATATCCCCCACGGCATTTGCATTTTCATGGCCGCCGCCGCTTTTTTCTGGCTTGGAGATAAGCCGGAGAAAAGCATCCCGACTGGCACAATCCTCCGGAATAAAGCTCTATTCCAGAGGATCTCTTATTCCTACTTGCAAGGAAGCCTAATCCGAACTAGCTACTCCATGCCGCGTGTAGCCGCACGGCACGGGGTTCGAACTTTAAAAATGGTGGCGCCCGGCTTTATGCAAATGAAGCCCGGGAAATTCAAATCCCAGGCTTCATTTGCAACTGCGGATGTCTACATTACCACCCTAGTTCGAACTAGCGGGGTAGTGTAGACATTCCCTTGGTGACTGATGTATGTCATGTATTCTCCTTAACAACCTTGCTCTCCACCTTTTCGTTCTTTTCATTAATAAACCTTGACATTTTAGATTCTAAAGGATTGGTCCAGTGTGCTCTTTGGGTAAGATCCAAGATATAAACTGACCGGGGACTGTGGCTGGTCCTTTGGGACTGGCAGAACCTGTTCAGTGTTGGTGAGATTAGGTTTTATACCTCTCACCGGTGCAGGGTGTAGGTCTGGTCCTGACATAGGTAAAGCAGGGGTGTCTAAGCACTTTTGCTTGTGAGGCTTCCTAATGGCCAGAGAGGCAGCTGAAGTGCTCGCATGACTGGTCTGGTGCCCTTATAGAGAAGGAGCCCATCTTGGGCGGTAAGTAGCCCTGGTTTTGAGCACTCATCGGTGCCTGGACCAACCTGGTATATTACACCATCCGCTTCATGCCTTTGTTCAAGCCCTGAGAGAGAGGGTCAAATTTGCATATGAAGGCCAATTCCACACACTCTCTCTGTAATTGGCTTGTGAACTTCCTTTGCGGAAGAATGGCTACTTTTAAATTCAAGAACGAGTGTCCAGGCAGGTTAAAATGTCCCTGCTGGTTTGTGTGTGTTACCATTTCTGATATCTGACTTGTGCCCATTTGTCCTTTGTCGCAGGCACTGCTAGCAGCTCCTGTTTAGCATGCACAAGTGCTACTAGTGCAATGGAAGGAGCGCTCCGTTCACCAAAGAACGCGCATGGTGGCAGACTGACAATACCGCACCTAGCAGGCCTTGTAGAATTACAGTCCCTTCACAGAATTAAAATTAATACAGCTGCATTAGGGTTCATGCCTTTGCAATTCATTGTATGACCAATGCAAATGTTGGCATCGAGCTATGACATTGTATGAAACATCTTCATGAGAGTGACATGACCAATGTACGTTCTGGAAGTTCAACGGGCACTGAGCCTGGTGTGGGGGTGCTTGTTTCAAGCTGAAGGTGGCCCTGGGGTTGGGTATAAAAAATTGCACCTGAGCATTCTCCTGAGTTCCTAACTTCTGATTAATATTCATTCGCAACTAATACCCCGTCTTGTATTTTACCTGTTAGGACACAGCTCTGCAAGCAAATCAAAGATGTGTTATTCTTCCCGGGGCTGCCAAGAAATCTAGAAAATGAAGGTCTGATGGCCCTGACCAAAGCCAATTATAACGCACACCTGAACATCTCATGCCAGTCTGCTGATTCACTGCACAGCCAAACCTCAGAGCCACTATTCTAGTCCTGGTCTTCCCACCCCATCGCTACTACCTCTCAAGCTCCAAGTGACAGTACGTTTCAGAATGGGGGCTGAAGTGAGAAGTAGGTGAGCTTCTTCCAGGTGCTCAGGAAGCCCATACTCTTCCTCCCTCCTCCTCTATTTCAAATTTCCCAGAGGGAGCTCACCAGCTCAGAGTCCTCCTGGAGCTGTCTCTCTCCTCCACTCGGATACGTTAGCCGTTCTTCTGCTCTCTAGAACCAACAACATCAAACAGAATTCACCCTAGGCATTGGACCACTTCACCGCCAGACTTATGGGCAGTGCTGTGCTTCCCTGGGATGCCTTTCCCGCTCTGGGACATGTACAAAGGGCTCTGAAAGGCTGCCGAGTCACCGATTGTTATACTGCTCACATGCATGTATCATCTTTGTACTGGGAGATACGAGTATTGGCTCGGTACTTGTCTTTCAAATGTTTGCTTTTTAGCCAGTCCATTGTGAAAGGGTGGCTAGTCAAATGAATAGCATCACTTGACTGACAATGCACCTCATGTGGCGCCAATCCACATCTGAGGAACTTTGCTGTGAACATTCAGACTCGCTGCTGCCTAAAAAGGACTGAGTCATGCACAGACAGGTGACTCGCTCATGTGACAGGCTTTCACACAGTAAGAACAATGTAATTCCCGCCTCCTGGGCAAGGGTATAAAGAGCGGCCTGAAGGCTCCTCCATTTTGTCTTTAATCGCGTACTCATTCCTCCTTCTCGCCTATGAAGGATCTCTGCTATGAGCTGAACCCTGAAAGGACTGAGGACATCCCGACAGAGGGCGTATTCCAGAATCTTGTTTTAAACCAGTGGCTTTTCCCACCTCTGCTACAAGCCTGCACCAAGAACTTGGCAATTGGTGTCTGTAGTTTGATTCCTTTAACAATTGTAACTCTCTTCCTTTCCTTCCAATAATACATCTTTAGATTTTAAAGGGTTAGTACAGCGTGCCCTTTTGGGGAAGATCTGAAGCATCAGCTGGCCTGGGAACGTGCCTTTGGAATCAGCAGAACCTGTTGTGATTCGGGGAGATTGGTTTTCATAACCTCTCCTCTGTGGAAGGAAGGGTATTGGTAGTGGCACTGGAGAGCGGGGGTGTCTAAAGGCATTGCTTGTGTGTACCAACTGAAGCCCTCTTTGTGACTGGTTTGGGGCCTTACAGAGGAGGACCCTCAGTCTTGGGCTAGAAGTAGCCCTGTTTCTAAGCAAGTCATCCGGGAACTGACCCTCTCGGCAGAGTTTGAAAGGGGGCTTCCCACCAAGGCTCCATGATGATTGGGATTTTCTAGTTCCCTAGGGGCATCCCACCCCATGGTCGAGGCCAAGGGCTATCAGGAGTGGTCAGGAATTACAGGGCTTCCCTATGGCTTGCAGGGGACTATGGCATTAGGCGCCTATCACTGCCTGGCTCATCAAACCAGAGATCATTGCTGCGGTTTCATCGGTGAGGGCGTTGGCAGCTCTACCTTACTGAATTGGGAAGTGCCTGGGGCTGCTGGCTAGCGACCACAGCCCAATGAAACGTGCTCTGCCCTGTCTCTCTCTCTCTCTAGGTCAGGCGAGGGAGGGGGATGCCAGCCTGAGCCCTGAGGTTTGTCCCCAAAAGGGAGCTTTGTGCTCAGCCTGGCTCAAATGCATCTAAGCCCGCGAGGCTCCCAGCAGGGCTGGCAGCTGGCATTTAGGGCAATTTACCTTCTGGGCTTTGTAGAGCACCTCCAGGATATTGCTGAGCAGCTCAATGCAAGCCTCCTCCTCCTCTCCCTTCTCAATCAGCTCCTGGAGGATGGGGATTGTCGTGTGCAGCAGCATCTCCCGACATTCTGCAGACAGATACAAACCGAGGGTAAAAAGGGGGCAGGGAGTGGGGCAGAAAGGGGCAGATGTTCAGCCTCAGGTTGGAGACCAGGCTCTGGGACCCTTCCCCGTTCCCCCTTCCCAGAGCCTGAGCCCAAAGGTCTCCAGTGCAAGTCAAAGCCCCAGAGGTCCAAGCCAGCTGACACAAGCCATCTGTGAGTGTGTAAGTGCACTATAGACATGGAGAATCCATCCCATCCCCAAGGAAGCTGCAATGGTGCATACACACCCCCCCCCGCCGCCAAAAATCCAAGAGTGGGACTGACGGTGCCCTCCTTACGAGGAGTCCGGTGCTTTCGCCGAATATTTCATCACCTTTGAGAGGCTGGGCCCCATCCACCCAATCAAGCCCCGACGGACGGAGAATGCCCACGCCGAGTGCAGAGCTGAAAGGGAGAGCCCTGGGCATATGCAGGAAGAGGCCTATTGCTGATGCTTCCGATGATGGTAAATTTAAGACAGTTTCAGATCACACCTGAAACTTACAAGGTGAGATTTAGAACCCTTAAGCGGGGGCGAGGCTAAGCCACGTGGCTTATGTGAACCAACTGCAGGATCTGCTAGGCAAGCGTGGCCGGGCGGACAGATCCCAGGCTTTGAGGGCGCGGGTGACCTGATGGCTCAGGAACGGTCCCGGGACATGGTGAAGTACTGTCTGTGGGACCAGGCTGGGGAGGGGCAGAGGTTCTTGCTCGCTTTGCTGACCAGTTTGAGCAGGCTCAGGCATCTGTAGGGGGAAATCTCAGTAGTCTGGAGGGATTTGCTTAAGGAGCAAGATTTCCTCCTTGGGAACTCAGCGGAGTTAGAACTAGTTGGGGGCAGGGGCGGCCCATGGCTATAGGCGGACTCGGCCACCGCGTAGGGTGCTGCCGCATGGGGCGCCCAATGCTGACGTCACAGGGGCGCCCGGGGCACCCGACGATGACGTCAGTCCACTGACGGCCCTGCAGGTGGGGCCGCCGATCACGCGTTCCGCCTGGGGCGCCAGCTGCTGCAGCCTGCCTCGGACCGCTCCTGGTTGGGGGCCATAAAATCATGGCCCCTTTGGCCAGGGTGCAGGTACAGACGGGGTGTAAACAGGCTGAGTTAACAGTTGCTGCTGGACCCTGAGAATTTTGTGCCATTAATTTTGGGAAATGACTCGATGTGGCTGAGTCTATCCCCAGAACTGTGAGAAATGAGAAGAGCCTTGTGCTGAAATCCAGGGGTGGGGAGGGAGATAAGAGAGTCTCTTTGATTCCCCTCCAGGGGGAGGGGTGGAGGAAGCCAGCCCTGACCCTGAGTCATTGCCCAGTTTCAGTGACTGTGTCCAGGCTAGGCTGTGTCTGGGAGGGGGGAGGTCCAACCCTGGGAGGCACAGAGACTTCAGGTAGAGGCTGGAGGCCAAAAGTCGACTGTGGGAGCTGAGGAATGCAAGGGCCTGGTGCCTGAGGGCTTACCCCAGGAGGAAAGAGGGAGACCGCGGGGCTTCCCAAGGAAGGGTCTGTCATGGCTGAGCTGTGTGCCTGCAGCTGGACAGGTGGCAGACGGCCCCGGGGCAGCCCACCAGTCAGTTATGCTCTCAGCCGGGGTGACTCTGCCTTTAGCCTCATGGAAGCAGAAACTGGAGGGTCAGTAGAAACCCCATCGATCCAAAAGACACTAGTGTCAGACACTGAATTGGCACTTGATTGAGCCAGGTGTCCCGGGCTCTCTGTAAATGCATGGGAGCCTGCCAATGTAACCCCTGGGGAAGGAGTGAGGAATACCCCAGCAGGGGGAGGAGAGATCCTTTCTTTTGGGAATACATTCCTTCCCAGAGCCTCCAAGGAGCGCTTGCTACTGCCTACCCATGCCACACTGATGAGAGAGAGAAACCTGTTGTTGAATACCCTCCGTGGACACAGAGGGGGAAGAGATACCGCATGACAAACGCTGTCCAAAGGGAGAGTGTGCTATGAGATCTGTACTTGAAACGCGACTCTAGCATTGGCTTGCTGGGAATCGTCATCTTTCCTTGCAACTCTTATGGATTAGCACAAAGAGACTGAAATGGACAATACACCTCTTGAAATGTGTCACTTGCTTAAGCTTTTGGAAAAACTTGTGCCCCTGCTGGGGACAGGAGCAAAAGGACCCCAGGATCAAGCAGCTTCTAAGCTAACAACTGTGCCTGGGCTTAGAGCTGGGTGTAGCAACAAAGGCACAACTAACCTGCACTGCTGGATGGAAGGGGAAACTGAGGCTCACTGCCTCAGGGTAATGGTGACTAAATGCCAAGACACTTACACGTGGAAAGACATTGCTGTCTGCATTCTGGGGCACTGCTGGAGGGTGAACCAGAGACCCCAAGGAAAGGGAGAGGGCCCTGGTTTGGAAGGCAGCTGGAACAGAAACAGTTTTTTTGGGGGGCGGGTTATAAGAAGTTTGTGCTGAAGATTTTAGTGTTCGAATTAGCTAAGAGTTTTGTTACTTTTGATTTGTAATCCACTGTGCTCTGCCTGTTCTCACTTATACCACTGAAATCCGACTGCTCGTACTTAATACAATCACTTGTACTTGCTACCATGCCCAGTGTAAATAATTGGTACCTGGGGGAGCAACCAGTGTGCACATTCCCCTGTTCACTGTCAAAGGGAACTTCCCCAAAGAATTCACTGGGGGTTTTGATCCCATTGGGGGAGGGGGTATCTCAGGAAGCTGGGCCTCGGAAGAGGTTCAGCGTCTGTGCTGCTTCTTGGGGGGCAAAGATCTCAGCTTGGGGCCTTGGCTGGGGGAAGCCAGGGGAGCTGGCCCAGCAGGACCGGGCAGTGAAAAGCCCCAGAGAGCAAGGAGGGTGGCAGTGGTTATGTAAGCAACCCAGAAATCACCGCACATGGTTGTCTGTGGCTTCACCCTGTCACAGTTACAATCTCACATGACCTGCTATAGTAGCAGAGACAAAGGAGGGACAAGGCAGAACAGGGGGCAAAATTAAATCCGTATCTTAGATGCCTGGAAACAAATGCAAAAGTACGGGAAATAAACAGGAAGTACTTGAAGTGCTAATAAATAAACACAACTATGACATTGTTGGTGTCACAGAGACCTGGTGGGTTAATACACACGTTTGGAATATGGATATATAAGGATACAGCTTGCTCAGGAAGGACAGGCAGAGAAAGAAGGGTGGAGGTGCTGCCTCGTATATTAAAAATGTACACACTTGGACTGAGGTGGAGATGGACGTTGGAGACAGACTTGACGACAGCCTCTGGGTTAGGCTAAAAGGGGTAAAAAACAAGGGTGATGTCATGCTAGGGGTTTACTATAGACCACCTACCCAGGCAGAAGAGGTGGTGTCACATTACCGAAGGGGAGGGAAGCAGCCAGACCGCTGCTGCACCCCTAGGTGGGGGTGTTGGCCCCAGAAATCTGTATGAAAGGGAGCCATGTGGGGTATTGAATGGGAGCTTGTGGTTTTCTGATCCTGTGTACGCTATTTACGTGAGTGTATAATGTCTGTGTGTGTAGGTAGGAATCTGTAATCTGTGTGGAAACTGAATATTTCTGTGAATGTGGTTAAGCATGGCTATGGACAGGCTGAGTAGCAAAGCCCTGTGGAACAATGGCTCTCAATAGGCTATGGACACACCCAAAGAATGGGATTTGTCACCTGAGGGCAGCCAGCAGGAAACATAGAGATTGGCCTCTGACCAGGTGACTTGCTACATACTAGAAGAGGCCAGGAAGGAGTATAAAGAGGCCATGTGGTCGATGCCATTTTGTTCTCAGCTCAGCACTTCATCCCAGAGGCAGCACTGCAGGGATTGAAGAGCCCGGAAGACCTGTGAACCCATCCTGATCGTAGGATGTGCAATAAGAACTTTTAAACCAGCAGCTGCAACATCTCTGCTAGAGCCTGCATCGAGAACTGGGAGATTCGGTGCATGTAACGTACTGTACTTTAATAACCTTACTCTCATGCTTTTCTTTCTTGTGTTAATAAACCTTTAGATATAGATTCTAAAGGATTGGCCCAGCGTGATTTGTGGGTAAGGTCCAGAGGGTAAATTGACCAGGGATCTGTGGCTGGTTTCTTGGAACCGGACAGAACTTGTTCGGGGTAGGTGGGATTGGGTGCTAGGACCCCCCACCTGTGTATAGGCCCGGGGCCATCTGGGGCACGGATATTGCTGGGGTGTCGGAGGGGTTTTGCTCGGGAGGCTTCAGGCAGGCTGCTGAAGCGCTCTGTGGCTAGGACCCCCCACCTGTGTATAGGCCCGGGGCCATCTGGGGCACGGATATTGCTGGGGTGTCAGAGGGGTTTTGCTCGGGAGGCTTCAGGCAGGCAGCTGAAGCGCTCTGTGAGACTGGTTTGTGGCCTGTGTGGAGAGGTCGCCAGTCAGGGGGACTGTAAAGAGCCCCGGATTTGAGCAATTCGCCCTGAGCGGACGCCCTAAGCTGTGCCCAGACACGGCCCGGTCAGTCACAGGTGGATGGGGCTTTTTCTAAACAACGAACAAAACTGTACAAAGCACAGGATTTGGTGGTGATGGGGGACCTCAACTATCCAGACATATGTTGGGAAACTAACACAGCAGGCAGAGATTATCCAATAAGTTCTTGGACTGCATTGTTTCAGAAGGTTGAGAAACTACTGACAGGAAGCTATTCTAGATTTGATTTTAATAAATAGGGAGAAACTGATTGAGAATTTGAAAGTGGAAGGCAGCCTGGATGGAAGTGATCATGAAATCATAGAGTTCACAATTCTAAGGAAGGGTAGAAGGGAGAACTGCAAAATAGAGACAATGGATTTCAGGAAGGCGGATTTTAGTAAACTCAAAAAAGCTGGTAGGTAAGATCCCATGGGAAACAAGACTAAGAGGAAAAACAACTGAAGAGAGTTGGACGTTTTTCAAAGGTTCATTATGATTTAAAAATCAAAAAGGAGTCATAAAAATGGGAAACTAGGCCACATTCCAAAGGATGAATATAAGCAAAC